TTATATATATATATATACACACACACACACACACACACAAACACACATACACATACATACATACACACACACTCTTTTTCATGTTCTTTTTCATTATAGATTATTACAAGATATTGAATATAGTTCCCTTGGCTATACAGTAGGGCCTTTTTGTTTATCTATTTTATATATAGTAGTTTGTACCTTCTAATTCCAAACTTCTAATTTATCCCTCGACCCCTCTTCCCCTTTGGTAATCATAAGCTTGTTTTCTATGGCTGTGAGTCTGTTTTGTCAGTTAGTTCATTTGTATCATTTTTTAGATTTCACATGTAAGTGATAGCATATGATAATCTGTCTTTCTCTGTCTGACTTACTTAACTCAATATGATCATCTCCAGGTCCATCCATGTTGCTGCAAAGCATTATTTCATTCTTTTATTTTTTATAGCTGAGTAGTGTTCCATTGTATGTATATGTAAATACCATATCTTCTTTATCCAGTCATCTGTTGATGGACATTTAGGTTGCTTCCATGTCTTGGCTATAGTAAATAGTGTGGCTTGAACTTAGGACGTGTGTATCTTTTCAAGTTGGAGTTTTCTCTGGATATATGCCCGGGAGTAGGATTGCTGGATCATATGGTAACTCTATTTTTAGTTTTTTAAGGAATCTCTATACTATCTTCCATAGTGGCTGCACCAAATTATATTCCCACCAACAGTGTAGGAGGGTTCCCTTTTCTCCACAGTTTTTCCAGAAGGAAAAAATTAATCTTGACCCAACCTCATACTACATGCAAAAATCCATTCTAGATTGAATACAGATATAAATATGAGATGTCCAGTAATGAAGCTTTTAGAAGAAAATATAAGCAAACATCCTTGTGGCCTTGAAACAGGAAAAGATTTTTTAAACAGATCACAAAAAGCTTTAATCCTATAGGAAAAAACTGATAATTTGGATTTTGTCAAGAACTTGTATTCATGTAATTTCAGGCACTCAAAAAGGGAAGCTACAGAGTGGGAGAAATCCATTGCACTCCCTCTGTCCCTCTGATTCTGTCTCTGTCTCTCTCTCTCACAAAGTACTTACATCCAGAATATCTAAAGAGCTCTTACAAATCAATAAGAAGAAAACAGCTCAGTAGAAAAATTGGCAAAAGAGATGAACAGGCAGTTCACAAGAGGCTATCCACATGGCCAATAAACATACAAGATGGTGTGCATCTTGACAAGTTACTGAGAAATACAAATTCAAACTACTATATGATACCACTGCATACTACTAGAATGGCTAAAGTGAAAAAGACACATAGTACCAAGTATTGGTGAAGACACAGGGCAGCTGAGACTGTATATTGAAACTGCCATGTTGGACATAGGTTTGGTGGTATCTACTAAACGGAAAATTCTCACTCAGCAATTTTGTTTTTATGTACATACCCAGTAGAAATACAAATATACATCCATCAAAAGATGTGTACAAGAATGTTCATAGCAGCTGTATTTATAAAAGTTCAAATTGAAAACTTAAAAGCCCATTAGCCGTCAACTAGACAAATGCTAGACCAGAGCGATGAAACTTAATCAACTCTAACTGCAATATAGCAGTGCAGATGAATTGCATAAACATAATTATTTATTGCTGTGCAACAAATTACCACAAGTGTAGCAGCTTAAAACAACACATGTTTATATAATCTCATTTCCTTGTGGACCCACGAGTCTAGTTACAGTTTAGCTGTGTCCTCTGCTTCAGAGTCTCTCACAGGCGACAATCAGGGTGTTGGCCAGAGCGAGGTTCTCATCTGAAGGATCAGCTGAGGAAGATCTCCAGTCGTGGCTGTTGACAGAATTTAGTTCCTGAAGGGCTGTGAGACTACAGGCCTCAGTTATTAGCTGGCCCTTGGCTAGAGGCTACACTCTCAGTTCTTGCCGTGTGGACTTTTCCACTGTAATTGCTTATTTCAGCAAAGCAAACAAACCAAGAAGGCAGTAGAAAGCCTATTAGCAAACCAGAAGCTGCAGTCTTATATATAATATAATCATGGATGTGACAGCCTGTTACTGTTGCTACATTCTGTTGGTTAAAGCAAATCATAGGTCCTGCCCGTACTCACCGGGAGGAGATTACATAAGAGTGTGAATGTCAGGGGGGTGGGGGTCATTGGGGGTCATCTTAGAGTCTCCTCACTATAATAATGGTAAGCAAAATAAAGCCCAAAAAGAAGCATAACTCTTAGAGGTCAAAATGATGGTTACCCTTGGAGTGGTTAGTGAATGGAAGGGAGCCCAGAAGGAACTTTCAGGGTGCTAGTAATTTTCTGTTTCTTGATCTGCGTGCTGGTTACAAAAGTGTATTCGGAAGGGGAGGCTATATCTCAAATGGTAGTGCACATGCTTAGCATGCATGAGGTCCTGGGTTCAATCCCCAGTATCTCCATCAAAAAAAAAAAGAAGCTAATAATAAATAAATAAATAGATCTAATGACCCCCCCCCAAAAAAACTATTTGGTGTGCAAAGGGTCATCAACATATAAACTCCTGATGTGTGCAGTTCAATAGATGTGTGTTAAAATCAACTTTAAAAATGGTAATAGTGATGGGGTTGCATCTACAGATTCAGATGTACTTGGGGTGTTGCTGTGTAAAATTTTATTTCAAAAGTATAAAGCCCCAGGGACAAAGCACAGGAGAGGAGACAACAGCAATTGAGAGAACTGAACAAGTTTTGGAAGAAGCTCAGTGATAAACAGGTGGTAACCAAGTTAGCAGAGAGGAGAAAACAAATCTAAGTCTGAAAAGGGACGGGGTGGAAACTGAGAAAATGAAAAGCAAGCCAGTTCACGCTGCAGTTCACACCCCAGAAAGGCTCAGGAGTGGGTGGTACCCAGTATTTGAGAAGATAGGGGTACAAGGTGAGGCTGAGAACATGCAGGCTGGTTGAAAGTTTTTACACCCATTTAGACACACTCCCTCCCCACCCCACTGATGCTGGTGTGATTCTGGAGGTTTCCCTCTGGAGGAACTGAGCAAGAGAGGCTCTGGATTTGGGAATTTCTGTTCAGAGTAAGGACTGAACTGAAAACAGGGAGGTTAACTCAACATTCACACACTGAGGAGTGAGCCCTCCAACCTTCATTCTTTTTTTCAGCTTCAGAATCCTGTTGGCCAAGTGTAAATGTCTCAGGGGAGAAATTAAGAGGATGATTCTCTGGAGAAAGTGATCAAAGAGAAATGGCCCAGAGAGACTTACGTTTGTGGGTCCCTGGATTCAGCTGCCAGAAAGTCAGCCTGTTAACTCTGTCTGGAAGCCTGTTAGTTAATGACTTTTTCCCATGTATACACAGACGGCTTCCAAACAGCATTCCAGTGCTTCATTCTTAAATGTGAACAGACTGCTTCTCTCTTAAATATGAAGAGAGCCAAAGATTATCAGATGTTTGAGGGAAGACCAAAGGAGGTAAACTTGAAAAAGAAACAAAGAGGAAATACAGGAATGTGAGTATCAAAAACTTTGTAAAAATGGTAGTGTAAGAAGGAAGATACTGCATCCATGCAACAATAACAGGAAATTAAAAGAGAAAAGGAATAGAAAACAAGAAAGTTTTCTTAAATATTATTAACCATGTTAAAAATAAAATTTAAAGAATGCGTGGAAGATAAGACTGAGGAAATCTCCCAAAGAGTAGAACAAAAGATAAAAATTGGGAGAGAAAAGAAAATTGGAGGATTGGTCTAGGAAGTCCAGTATATGAATCACTGGAGATCCAGAAAAAAAGAAGAGAGTGAATAAAAATGAAAAGAACATGAAAGAAGGAAATCAAGATTTCCCAGAAGTACTTGAATTTTCAGATTAAATGAGCCTACCGAGTACCCAGTACAGAATGAAAATAAACAACGCCAAGGAGCATCATGAAATTACAGAATAGCAAAGTTAAAGGATGTAAGTCTTCAGAGGACGAGGCAGGTGAGGGGGCGGGGAGTACATGTAAAGGACTGGTAGTCAGAATGACAGCAGTTGTGCTGAAAGCCAGAAGATAATGGAGCAATGCCTTCAGAATTCTTGAGGAAAATCATTTTTCACCTAGTGTTTTACAGCCAAACTACCAATGAAGTGTGAGATTAGAATAAACGCATTTTTAAACATAGAGTTTTTCTAAAATACATGCTTCTAAGGCAGCCTTCCTCAAGAAGCTACTTACTAGAGGATGTGTTCCATCAAAACAAGGTGATTATCCAAGAAAGAAAACATGGGACCCAGGAAGCAGCGGAACAGGAATTTACCAGGAGGAAAGTGAAGGGAGGTTCCAAGCAGGTCTGGAAAGGATCCTGTACAGATTTGAAGAGGAGAATCCAGAGTTCCCAGAAGGATATTGCCAAGAAGAAAAAAAAACACATGGCCCACCCCCAATTTTTAAAAATTATATGACATGTCTGAGCATTCACACTGAGAACAGATCCATGGTTCTATTTGCAAGGTTAAGGGGAAGTGAGGAACTATAGAAAACTGAGCAAGCAGTTACAGCCCCAAAAAAGGCAGCTTTTTAGCTCAGGGAAAACAAATTGTACAGGAAAAGAAATACAATACACTTATATTCAGTTGTGAAAATACGTACTTATAGCAGACACTGAATATTAACATGATTTAAATTGTTCAGAAAACTGTTGTAAAGCTAGGAAGGAATGGTTGTAGGCCTGGTGAGTGGAGTGTAAAAATGTCAGGGCTTCATAATTAATAGCAGGAAGTCATTGTGGAACCATAGGGCTTTGGCGAGTAGCCCTACGTACCATGTGATTACCTGGAGGGCTTGTTAAACACAGCTTACTGGGCCTCCTCTCAGAGTTTTTGAGTCAGTCCGTCTGGGGTGGGGCTTAAGAATTTGCATTTATATCAAGTTTCAGGGACTGTACTCTGAGAACCAAAGATCCAGAACAGTGAAGGAAAATACCAGGAAAAACAGCTGGCATTGTCTGTGTGGGAGAAGTGGAGAAGGGTGATACAAGTGACTGCTGCTTCCTTCACATATCTTGATAGTGCCTGACACGTTAAACTCTGTCCTTTGTATTTTGATACTGTTGTGAATTTCTATGAAACCAAGGTAGGTGTTGTTACATCTTTGCACCTCTGTTCGTGCTCTTCACCTCCAGCAGACTGTTGGGCCCCCAGGCAGAGCCCGTATACTTTTTATTCTCCATGTAGCTCTGACAAAGCAGGTCAACTGGTGCAGGAACTCAGACACAACCACCCAGGTCTATGGAAAGAAGCCCAGGACAGCCCACTTCCCCTGGTATTTTCTGAACATGTTGCTGTCTTGATATTCCTAGTAATAAACGTAACTCATTACGAAATTAACTGTCTAGTGTATTTTATTCAAAGAAGTAGGGGAAATTGATATCTTTAGATTTCATTTCAAGAAGGAATAACGTCAGTTATCTAGAACATGACCCTCTGTGGAATAGCTCACTGCTAAATTAAGTGTTACTACATACTCATTTGGGTCGGTGATTTTCTTTACTCGGCATGCTCCATGTGGCACTCGTGGAGAAACGCCTGTTGCTCCCAGCGCAAACGGTTTTCTTTTCATTTCAAAAGAGTGAATAACTCATTCTTTCTTCCTTTTAGCTCTGCTCCAACTTTGGCTGAAGAAACCACCTTGAAGCAGAAGTGTCTGCTGACGACCGAGCTCTGAGGGGTGGCCGGCCCCTCGCCGGTGACTGGAACGCCCGTCACCCCCAGCAGTCCGTCCTGAGTCCCATTTCTGCTGCAGCGTGTTGGGTTCCGGAGCTTTTTCTTTACTTGTGGGTAAAAAAGCTCACCTAGATTTGGCTTCAACTCCGTGAAAAAAAACAGCTACATTTCCGTCCAGCTGGAAGGGTTTAACTACACTACACATTTGCCCAAGTGAGGGTATATGATCTTTTATTTTCTATAAAGTTATAAATTCCTGAGACAAGGGAATTATTTCCCCTGTGGTTTCCTTCAAGCTCTTGGCTCCACCCAGTGGTTATATTGTTCACAGCACCTCCATAAGTGGGCTGTCTGGTAGCCAGCGGCCTTTTGAATGTTACTTCTCTCTCTGATATCAGGGTGTGTCCTTGATCTGAATGCCTGTTAAGAGAAATTGTACCTTCCTCTGCATTACCTGGAAATCAGGAATTTAGGGAATTAATGAGGACACTATGTAGGTCGGTTAACTACTATTACTAAAGAGAAGTTTTTAGCATAGGGAGGGTTTTTAGATGTCTCCCCTATTTCTGACTTTTTGCTGGACTAGCTAATAATCCAAGTTTACATTAAGGTAAGATAAACCTTGGAAAGAGCTACAGAGAAACCAGTTGCCTGTCTATAATTTTTCCAGCCCCACCTTCCCACAGGAAGCACACTTGCATGTACCACAGACACATTCTGTAGCTTTTCAGTGGAAGGGGCGGGGGTGGTGAGAGAGACCCTGGGGCATTTCCCGTCCGGCAGCCACACTCCTCCCAAGCCCTGCAGACCCAGGGAGTGGAGGAGCCGCGCAGTCCTTTCTAGGTGCCTGTTTGGGTGTGGACTCCATTTCCTCTTAGTATAAGCTGAACAAACTTAGAGTGCGTAAACTGAAGGGGGAAAAAAGTACCAGAATAGAAATAGGGAATCGAGATTAGGGGGGATTCTGTTTCTTGAACACCTACCACATCTGAAACTAAACACGACATGTTAGAACTCCCATCTCAGTTTACATTAGGAACTCAGTTAAAAAGAATTTTCTACAATTTCCTCTTCACTTTTGGTATATATAAAATATTCTGAATGTTAAAATAGTGCATACTAATTATAGAAAATAAAGAATAAAAATAGTTACTTGCAATTTCAACACCCAGAAAAACCCTATTTTAGCTTTAAAACTTTAAAATGCGTAGCGTATACCTCAGTTGTGTGGGGAATGAGGGCGATCTGGGAACCGTGCTGAAGTTATCAACCCCTGTTACAAGAGCTGATGTTAAACTGTACCGCCTGGAGTTTGTGTTTTGGTTTTCTGGCCTGCGGTGTGTGTATAATTGTTAATTTATGCTGTTCACCATAAAAGAATATCCAGTTTTAAGATCTTTAAAACTCCATGGTTTGGACTATACTACTGGGTTCCCCATAGCATAATCCTGTGCTCAGGCAAACGCTCTAGTGTCTGACTAGAAAGCACAGGAGTTGTAATCTTGTGCTGTTTCCCAGGGAGCTGTAGAGGTTGGAAAGCACTTTTGCACAAAACAGCTTTGCTGAAGGAAAGAAAGTTGGCACTTCTTGTTGGCTGCTTCCTCTTAGCCGCTGTGCCGAGCTTGTGAGTTTCATTGGCAGAGCTCTTGCCGACTCTTAATTGTAAAACAAATTTTCTCACAGCTGTAAGTGACACCTAGAACCAGGAACTTGACCCAGGACATGTTGGACTGGACATCACATTTTCAGTATAGTGCTAACCCAAGAAGTAAAAGGTTAAAAGTTGTGCTCTGGTCACAGAGCACTTTCTCGATTTTGGAATTAAGTTGCTGAAAATATTCTGTAACTTCTGTGTCTTCAGATACCTGTATCCTTGCCTGTCAGAATATTGATAGAGGCTTTCTTAAAATTCATTTGAATCTCAAGCTAACAGGACATTTTTTCTCTTGTCCTGACAAGAAGTGGCAAATATGGAAATTAATACTTTAATGATTTGGCCATGACAGAATAGATAGCTGTTAAGTATAAATTTCCTTTTGTATCTGCTACAGGTGCCATCCCCAGAGCTCATCTGAGTGTGGAGCGAGGGCAGGGCAGGGCTGAGGACATCTGAGGCCGTGTCAGAGAGGGAAGGGGAAACGTCTGTCTCTGAGGAGGGAGCAGCAGGTGTGAGTCAGTGAGGCGTGCTGGCCACGAGTGAGACTGGAGATGATCCCTTTAAGGAGGCAGGCCGGTCACACTGAGGTAGGAGTAGGGTGGCAGGAGGGACAGCTGTGGTGTCACTAGAGGCTGGTGGCCCTCAGGGCACAGTACCTGATTACAGAGATTGTAAAGTCCACCTGTACCTCTGAGCCATCTGGTGAACTTCAGTACAGCGCTGCGCCTCGGAGGAGATGCAATAGCCCGACCAGCTGTCAGAATGGCAGCTAGTTGGGCAGGAAGGTTTTCTGTATCTGCAGAATGTTCCCGGGCAGTAGTACGAGAAAGCCAACATCGGCAGCGTTTAATTAAGTCAGGAGTAATGAGAACATGTTTGAAAAGAGCAGGAACAATGGTTTATTTGAGCGCTCCAGCTAGAAAGCTGTCAGCATTACTCCCTCAGAAGGCCGCCTGGAAGGGATTTACAGCTGAGATAACAGACCCCGTTTGGCAGAAATAACCGAAGGCTGCTTTAGCCACAGGCTCAGCTCTGTGGTTCCTTTCTTTCCGGATTTTCCAGGGCCAGAGTTTGCTCTGGTGACTCATGAGGAACAAGGATGCTAGGACTCGGGACTGAGCAGATTTTAGGCGGGTGCTGAGAAAGTGGGGGGCTTCTTTTGCCCTCTGACTGTTGCTTCATTGCTCTGTGAGGATCTGTGGCTTTCCCATGGTTTATGTTTTAAGAAAAAAAACGTATTAAAAATATTACTTATAGTCTCCTGACTTTTTGTCTTTACCTTTTTCTACTGTGTCACAGTCCCAGGTGTCGTGTGGACAGTTAAGGATGGAAGCCCTGGGGGTGTTCCCTGTATCCTGACTGCTTGTTCTCTTGTGCTTCTCAGCTCTGGCTGACACTGTGCCTCTAGACAAGCCCCAGAATGAAAGCTCAGGTGTCACTTCAGAAACTTCCTTAGAGCAGAATTATTTGGCAGTCACTTTCACATTTTTCTACCAGTAAGGGTCTTGAGAAGCCAAGTTCTCATCTTACTTAGAGCAGGGGCCAGCAGACGCTTTCTGTGAAGAGCAGAGAAGGTTGGTCCTCTCTGGTCACTGCGGCTGCCAGGGCACGGACACGGCGTGGGCAGAGGTGAGCTCAAGGGCTCAGCTGTGCGCCAGTGCAGTCTTTTGGGCTATTTCAAGGTGGCTCCCTGGTCAGGTGGGTATTCAGATCGATTCTGCTGATTGTCTGTCACTTGGAGGCACCTGGCAGGTTTAGACATCGGCGTCCTCACTCACAAACGGACGAGATGCGGTCGTGAGTCTCCCACCTGACAGGCTCTGAGGTCTCACCATTTTCTGACTAAGCTGCCCTCAGCCTTTTGGTTGCTTAGAAACCTGGAATCTTTTAATGTATGACATACGAGTCTGTATTATTTGTTCTTTCTTCCTCTTAAATTTTAAACACTATGGTTCTTGAATGATCAGAAGAAAGTTGGAAGCTCTTCCTACCTGTTAGCCTCCAGGATGAGGATAGCTGTTTGGATTATGGAAACTTGCCCTGAGCCAGACTCTGCTGGGTAACACGTTGGTGGCGCTGTGATTATTTCCAGTTCAAAGAGGGAGGATCCACAAGTCACTTTATCACACTGATGGAGGCAGTAATTCAGTCCCTTTCCAGGATTTCTGTTTATCAGAGAGGTGTTTTGGCACAGATCCCTTGCCCTTTTTATCTTCCTATCTGGAAATGATAGACAGTTATAAGGACCTCACTAACGAATTTGTGTTTACTTTTTATACGTGTAAAGCTTTGCAGTAGCTTTTGAAGTGTAATTTATTTTTATATCAAGTGCACTATTCGTTCAATGTGTTCCACGGTTTTATATGACTTATATTAGAAGCACTCTGCACTGAACTGTGAGTTGTTTGTACACTGAAATGACAACTGTAGATGTGACCACAAATAAAGCTTTTGTGAAACACTCATGTTTTTACGAGCTGTCCCGGTTTCTTGGAAGTGTAATACCTACATGCTGGCCTTTTTCACTCCTCAACAGAATTGTTAGGTAAGAGTTGCTGTCGTACAACGTGAAGGGGCAAATAGAAGCAGTGAACAGAAGTTACACCAGTCCACAGTGTTCATGTTAGTATATATGGTGTAAATTTGGGCGTGGAGACATTTTGAAGTTGGGAAACCTCATTGGTCATACTCTGCATATCCTGGAAGGCACAGCGGTGATTCCCAGGAGCAGCGTGGTACAGCAGAAACACGGCTCTACTGCTTAACGCCCATGAGATCCTGAATAATTATAGTTGATCCTCGAACAACGTGGAGGGTGGGGTGCCTGCTCTTTGGGCAGTGAAAAATCCACGTATCACTTAGAGTCAGCCCTCCGTGTCCACGGGCTCAGCCAACCTCAGACCATGCAGTACTGTAGTACATTTTTTAAAAATTCATGTATAAATGGACCCATGCAGTTCAAACCCGTATCATTCAAGAGGCAACTGTATTTAACCAACTTGTGCCTCGGTTTCTTTGGATGACACATTCAGTGTGCAGCCAGCATCAGGTGGAGGGTAGGCAGACGTCCTCCACCTCCTCCAGGTTTGCATCACGTCGCCCAGTGAGGGGCCGCGCTGCCGTGTCAGTCATGCGGGGCAGTCGCACAGCGCTGTGGGATGTTGGCAGGGCTTCTGAGGAAAGTCATCTTTCCCTCTCCCCCCTTCCCCTCTCTGCCTGGAAGACAGGCAGCTGTGGGCCTAGGAGAAGCCTGAGCTATTCTCTGGCGCTTCAGGAGTGCGGGGAGAGGCTGAGCCCAGGCTCAGGCGCCTGTGCCGGACGCTGTCCTAAAAGGGATTTTTGGCGGTAAGCAGGCAAAGTTGCTCCAACTTCACGACTCATTGGAAGGACACGGAGAGCTCTGAACCGACAGGAAGGTGGGCGGGCGGGCAGAAGTGAAGGGGAGGAAGCTGGGCTCCATCTCCGGCAGGAGCAGCACGGCCTCTGCCTATTGTTCACCCCACGGGCAGGGAGCCCGCAGGGAAGGGAGGGGGTACCCGACGACCAGAGCATCCGCAGAAGGATCCCCGCACGCCCCCAGGAGGGGCTTCTGTGGTCGGCACTGGGAAGAGGCAGGAGGGGCCGACAAGGTGGCTGTGGAGTTCAGAGGCCCAACGAGGAACACATTGGTTTAGCGGCGCTGTGGTGGCTTAGGGTGATCTGTCCCAGCAGACACTCAACCATCTGTGCTTAGATTCCAAACCTCTCCCCCGCGGGAGAGCCCTGGGGGGCGCAAAGCAGGCCTTCTCTCCACAGTGGGGTCGCACCAGCACACATCGGTTGCACGACGCAAAGATAAGGGCTAGCTCCAGCTCTCAAGCCAGGAAATTAGGATGTTGGAGTAGAAATAGATTTTCAAGATGACTGGGTCCCAGCTCCTCAGTGCACAGATGAGGAAACAGGTCCAGCGAGGGGAAGGATTTGCCCTCTGACCACGGGCCAGGGGCAGGGATTCAGGTCTGGGCTTCCAGGACACCATCCCCCTGCCGGCCTCAGTGGGCTTCCCCCACAAAGGCTAGTCTCACGTTTCCTGCTGAATCCCTGAGGCCCTTACTCCCTGGATCCATAATTTCCACAGAAGTTTGTATCAAGCAAAGCCTTCTCAGAATAAACCTACATACTTCTGCCACCATTCAGAGCCCCAGAGGTCCTGGGATAGCCTGTTTCTCTTCCATGTGATTTGCCACTGTTGGTCTTTTTTTTTCTCTGTACAAAAAATCTATTTTAATATATTGAAGAATCACCTGTTTTACCTTAGCTCCTCAGAACTTATTCTTCTTATATCTGAAAGTTTGTACCTTTTTTTAAAAACCTCTCCCCATTTCCCTCACCCCTAGCCCCTGGCAACCACCATTCTACTCTGTTTCTATGAGTTCAGCTTTTTTAGATCCCACATATGAGTGATAACATATAGTATTTATTCATTCTCTCACTTATTTCACTTAGCCCAATGCCCTCAAGATCCATCCATGTTGTTGCAAATGGCAAGATTTCCTCTTCTCTCAAGGTTGAATAAGATTCCATTGTGTGTGTGTGTGTGTGTGTACACCACATCTTTATCTGTTCATCTGTTGACATTTAGATTGTTTCCATATCTTAGCTATCGTGAAAAATGCGACTGGTTCTTAATCTAATCTTAGGAACTCTCTTGCAAGTCTGGACACGTAGGCAGTTCTGCACACAATTCCACCTGCTTGCTGACCTCCTAGGAATCCTCAGGTTGGAAGCCCCAGCTCTGGACTAACTGTGGGCCGAAGGAGGCATTGGGAGTGGAGAGCGGGGAGAGAAGGTGGTTCTACTTGGGCAGCTGCAGGCTCCTCTCACAGGGCCGTGCTGTCTGCAGCCCTGGGCGGCGTAAAAGCTCAAGAAATGCTTGCTTAAGGAAGGCCTGAAGGCATACAAATTTCTCAGCCTAGAATATTAAAGAATACAACACTTTAAGTCAACTATTTTACATGCTTTCATATTGAATTATGATAAAGTATAAGTAGACCCTTTTGGAACCCTGTCAGTCAGCCCCTCTCCCTTGTCTTGTAAATGGGGGTGAGACCTCCCTCATGGTGGAGGTTATATGAGTTAGTGCTAGGATCCCTCAGGGCGCTGATGCCTCCAAGTCCCAACAGCCCAGGTCTCTGCCTGGACCCCCTCCTGCCTCCATTTGGATATTACACACGCATCTCAGACTCAGCATGTCTTAAGCCAAATTCAAAGTGTTCTGTCATACAAATTTGTGCTTGCCAAGGGGGCGGGGGTGGGAAGGGATACACTGGGATTTCAAAATGTAGAATAGATAAACAAGATTATTCTGTATAGCACAGGGAAATATATACAAAATCTTGTGGTAGTTCACAGAGAAAAAATGTGACAATGAATATATATATATACATGTTCATGTATAACTGAAAACTTGTGCTCTATGCTGGAATTTGACACAACATTGTAAAATTATTATAAATCAATAAAAAATGTTGAAAAAAGTATAAAGTGTTCTGTCAAAGCTTCCCTCTGCCACACTTGCCCAAGTCGCTGCTTCTCAGTAGTCCTGGTCTCAGTGAATTGTTTACCTCCCCTGGATTCCTCTTTCCCCGCCAGTGTGCGCTCAGTCAAGTCTTGCTGGGCTTGTCTCTGAAATGCCTGTTTCTGCCCTGACACTTGCATCATCCAATAGCTGCCCGCTTCCCTTTCTGGGACCGGGTGGAAAGCTCCGGCCTCTTTGGAACCCACGCAAAGCAAACCTACTTTGCGGTTCTCCTGAGAGTGAGTGCACGCAATTTTGAGGTGTTCTTTTGAGTCAGCAGGGGTTTAGAGTGAGGTGAGTGGGATGTCTGGAGCACAGAGTTACTCCAGGTTCATACAGGCGCCCACTATGCACTCATACCACCAGGAGAGTAAGGACCTCATTACATTTTCCACCTGAGCCCGTCCCTGCTCCTGAGAGCTGGATGCAGGGCCCCAGATCAGAAAAAGTATCTGAGGATCGGGCTTGGGTTATGCTTTTCAAAGGCAGCAGATCCCTTTCCACCCCATCATGCCAACCATTGAGTCTCACTGCAGAGCCTGGAAGTGGGGGTGTGTATCTGGCCCTGCACAGACCCCCCGCCCCCGAGCAGCCACAGTGGCTGTTGCTGGGAGCAGAGCCCAAGCTCAGACAAGCCTAGGGGGCTATGCCAGGACTGTCTGGCAGCTTCGGGCAGAGGGTCCCAACCAGGGAAAATTCTTGCTGGGCTGTGATGTCCTTAGTGACCACACGGGGGCGCTGCTGCACTGAGAAGACATGGCGAGTCCCGCCGGAAGGAAAGCTCTCTCTTCGAAGGTCACTTCCAGTTTGCAGGAGAGCAGCCCCTGTGGGGTGTAAGTGAGGCCCGCCGGAAAATCAGTGAGAACGTTATTGAATTGGATGTTGGCCCAGACGTGCCCAGGTAGAGTTTATTCACCTTTAGAAAGAGAGAAGATCAATTCTGATTCCTTCTCTCCAGACAGGGAGCACTCCCAAGAGCGGGTTGTCCCAAACACGGTAGGATTTCACTGACCTCCAGGCACCGGGTCGGATCACGAGCTCCAGGAGCTGCACGCTTGGTTTTGCAGCCCAGTCCTAGGGAATCATCCTTCTAGCCCGCGATTCTTCTCTCTACCACCCAGGGCTGCCTGGGCGCGTCCTGTGCATCCCTCCCCACACTCCCGCTTCCTTTCCCAAGATCCCAAGGCTTCGGGTTTCCATGGAGCCTGTGAGCTTCCTTCCCACGAGGAGAGCCACCCAGGTCTTCAGACAGGCCTAGTCACTCTGGTCACTTGCCACACTCTCTTCAGCAGGTGATACATGACTTGTGGGTCACAAGGCTTAATCTTTGTAATCAAAAAAGGACTTTAAAAACTCTTTATTATGAAATAGATCACACATACCAAGAAGTCCACAAGCATGCGTGCACAGCTTAGCATCTTATTATTAAACAAATGCTCCTATAACCACCCCCCAGGTCAAGAAGAAGGATGTCTGCCCCCTTATCCAGGTCCCTTCCCACCTCCCCACTCCATACCCCAAAGGTAACATGGTCCAGCATCCCTAAACAGCAGAGTTTGGTTTTGCCTGCTTTTGAACTTCACGTAAACAGACTCGTACTGGTTGCATTCTTCCAGACATCTCCAGTTGTATGTTCCTCAGTTCATTCAACAACTATTCACTGAGCACCTCCTATGCGCCAGGCTCTCTCCTAGGCGCTCTGGACACAGCGGCGACCCCACAATGATCGTGCCTTCATGAAGCTTCCGCACCAACAGTGCCTCCAGAGTGGTCCCGAGGCCGTGCCGACCGCAAGGGCGACAGTTCTGCCTCTGCAGACTCTGGAGCCTCCTCCTGGGTTCTGCTCAGTGTTGGAGAGCTTTCTCCCTCCCTTCTCTCCAGGCCCAAGTAAAACCCGCATCTGTTTTT